CCCGCAAGTGGTCTGAAACTGTCAACATATTATGATACCACTTCTTTTTTAGAAGATATAGGCCCTTCTGTAATACATCTATTTAATATAAATAGAATTATAATCATCGGGCTCGGAAACATTGAATGTCCGTTCTGTGGGGACTGAAATTTTCAGTGTTACTTACCAATAGTCTAACACTATCACTGTTAAGTTAACCTAATAGTACATGTATCCTATCTAGTTTAACAGAATCAGACCCTACTGTACACCAAGGGAATTAAAAATGAAATACACCGACGTATATATCTTTGTTATCGACATTAGTGCTGTGTTTATCAAACGGTGTCGACCTTTTACAGTGTTGTTTTTTTATATGTTAAAAAAAGGTCAAAGAACATTGTACTAGAAAACAGCAGAGGCTCTTACAATTTGTACCCCGTGGGCTAAAGTTTTCAATGGCACCTACTAGTGGTGGACAGCTACCATTGTAAAAATTATACTTACGGAAAAAAACCCAATAAAAACATCGGGCTCCGACACATCGAAACACCCTACCCCAGAGATGAAATTGTTAGTTCACCCACAAGTGCTCTTACACTGTCAACATATTGTGTTGATACAACTTCTTTTTTAAAAGATATAGGCCCTCCTGTAATACATCTATTTAACATTTATAGAATTATTAACATCGGACTCGGAAATATTGAATGTCCGTTCTGTGGGGACTGAAATTTTCAGTGTAAGTAACCAATAGTCTAGCACTCTCACTGTTAAGTTAAGCTGAAAGTACATGTACCGTATCTAGCTTAACTGAATCAGACCCTAATGTACACCAAGGGAATTGAAAATGAAATACACCGACTAGGGTTGGGGTCAATTACTTTGAAATGTAATTAAATACTTTCAAATATATTGATAATTTTATCAATTACTTGCAATTACAATTACATGGATTTTTTCAAATGTAATTAATTACTCTCAATTACTTTGACAAATGTAATTAAATACATTTCAATTACTTTAGTTTATTTTTTTAAAATCTTGAGAACAAATACATGTATAAACAGCAATGAGATATACACAAAGCTTTATGTACGGTATTTGGTTAGAAAGGTTAGCGTTCAGTTGAATCACCATTTATAGATTTTGCTTTAAAATTTCTAGAAAAATTTTTCATTGACTTTTTCATCCAGTATCATTCATTGAGTTCATGTTTGGTTCTAAACAAGATTTTCTCTATACTGAATTTTTATTTGCGTAAATAGGTTTATTTAGTAAGTACAACTTTGGGGCAGTACAGCCTATCAGTATATAAAATAATAATGTCTATAATTCACAAGAATGTGATTAATTTAGAACCCCTAGATTCTAAAATAGGGGAGTTTTTTGGTATGAGAGGGGTTCACACCTGAACAAATTTAGACCTTTACCTATTGCCCTGGGCAGTGTGTCATGTTGTTTACAGATATTAACACTATGAGACTAATTATTGTATAAACAAAAGCCCATGCCAAACAGGTATACAAACTAAACATCATTATAAGACACCTTTTTGAATTTTAAACTTGAAAAAAAAGTAATTGAAATGTAATTGAAAAGTAATTGAAAATACATGATAATTTTGAAATGTATTTAAATACATTCAATTACTTGTAACTGAATGCAGACTCAATTACAAATTACTTCCAATTACTTTGAAAAATGTAATTAATTACACTCAATTACAAATACTTTTTTCAATTACCCCATCCCTGACACCGACGTATATATCTTTCGTGTCGACATTAGTGCTGTGTTTATCAAGCAGTGTCGACCTTTTACAGTGTTGTTTTTATATGTTATATATATATATATATATATATATATATATAGCGCAGCATGTGATTAAACAATGAATTATGATAAATCAATAAAAATGAAATTAACAACGTAAATAAATTTGATTGCAAAATAAAATAAAACATACCTATTTTTTCAGTAAATTTCCATTATCTATAGTTTATAAGATTTCATATGTTATAAGATTTGTTATTTATTTATTTATAAGTAGAACAATAGTTTAATCTCAGAGACAATGTTGTTGAATAATAGCGAGCGCAGCGAGCTCTAAGAACCAGTGTGGGCGGGAAAAAGAACGAGCTAAACCTACAGATTCATCAAACAAATTTTTGTCTCGGTCCCATAATGCTCTCTAATATTTTCACCCGTGGTGCTATGCCAAAAATTGCTGACATTTAACTCGTAATTTACGGTGCCTTGAGGTTTGAAGACGCGTTTTGAGTACCACACAAGCTTTGGTGAGACCCAAGAGATTTTTTACATGTTTCCATTCCATCGTATTGAGTTGAGATACGTAAACAAATGATTATGGAATTTAACGTATGACGTCACAGTGATCTCGCGCTATATTTCCCGCGATAAATTTAGAGGTGGATCAAACATATGTAACGCTTGCACTAGCTACATGTATTTCAGTATAGACTGCGATACCTGCCTCATTGACATATGAATTGTTTTTAATTTTTTTTTTGATAGAGAAATTATATATATACTAGCAAGATCCACAGTTTACTGTCATATCGATCCAATTTTAAGCTAATTTTGCATGCATGTACAGTAAGTATGAGTAGGGGGGAAATTAAAAAAATAGGACATTTTGAACTAAATAAAAAAAAAATAAAGAGAAAAAATAAACAGTTAAAAAAATTATGCAGATATTGCATATAGTCAAACCATTAAATTAGAAAATGTGAAATTACACACCTACAAACAGAGACCGGGGGCACGGATAACGTATGTAATTAGAATGCAAAAATAAACGAATTTAAAAAAAAATTATGAACAGGGAAAAATAAAGGAACAAAAAAAATACTGTATTTATCGTTAACACTTTTGACCAAATTAAACAAAAATTATATTTTACAGACGGATCAATTCTCTCCAAAAGTAAAGAACGGTTTTAGGGAAGCAAGTCTATGTATTTTGTAAGAATTTATTTAAACTTAGAAATATTATATAATAATCTCTCTCTCTTTTTTTCTCTCTCTCTCTCTCTCAAAAAATTATTTAACGCTCGTTGATAACTAAATAACACTAAGACGACAATGATGCAAGGTATGTGTAATTCTTGCTGCGCTCGCCACAACGGTAGCACCGTAAAACATATTAAAGATTTTAATATAAATGTTCATTGCACTGTATCTCCCAATTTTAAAGTGATTGTAACATCAGTTCATCCCCTTTTTTGCAGTCGACATTTTTTCTTATTAATTACTAATTTTTTTTAATTTACGCTTAAAAATATTTGCTTATCATATTAAACGAACATGGAGTTGCCCCCCCCCCCCACCACACACTTGGGATTGGGAGCATGTAATAAAAGGAAGTGAAAATAAAGAAACCATTGAACTGCTAAAGAGCTGAAGTATTAGAATTTTCAGAATTTTGAGAATTAACTTTTTTTTCTTTTTGCTTGTAAAATTTTTTTGGATGAGGCTGTCATCCACCCCCCCACCCCCACCCGCTTTTAAAAAAACCGATGCTACGTGTACGTTACTGGAAATTACCGTAATTATAGTGAATACAATAAATGTGAGCATTCATCCAAATGAGTGCAAGTTACAACTGTTTCCTATATCTAAAGATTTTGAGAGGATTTTGGTAATTTCAGCAGATTTACAATTGATAACTTCAGTTAGAGTAATTTCCCCTTATTGTGACGTCAAAGTTCACGTTTAAGTGTCGTCTGACTCATTAAAACTCCCCTGAGAAATAAAAGTAAGCGAAGAATACTGTTTTATTTACTTCAAAAGCATGATGTTCTTAAAATTACACATCTTATATGCTTCTCAAAGTTTTACTTTGATTCTCGCGAGAACGCGAGGACTTGGAAACCATTGGTACTATGAATTGTGGGTCCAAATTTACTGACGCCGAAAAAATCTATCGGATCAATGTGCAAACCCTTTGTGACGTCACTCGATTATTATTTTTTTTTTGATTGAGAGTGTACTGAAGTGAACTTTAGAGGTAACTGACTGTATGTCGTATACATCGTTATTCTTTTTATTGTCTTGCTGATTCTCGTGAGAGTGTGAAGTGATAAAAATTGCCATGATTACAGGGAACTACTGGGACGATTAAAACAATGCATTACTGGTCCGATTTACTGACGCCAAAAAAATCCGTTGAATGAATGTGCAACTGGTCCGAATTTTCTATTCACACACGCCTTGCCGTTAGAGCTCGCTTCGCGCCGGCGCTGCGCGCCGGCGAGCTGCGCTCGCTATAAATAAAATGCTACCACTGACCACGCTGCGTCAGATCATTAGTATGCACTTGATCGCATTTACTTATTAGGAGGAGAATGTTTTAGCGCAGTGTCTGTGCGTATAAAATTGGGGTGCGGGAAACGCAGCTCTCCAGTAGTCATCTGGAAGCTGTCTTTCTGCCTCCTCTTTTTAAACAGACTGGGACACGGGCTACTCCTCATGTAGAGGAGGAGACTTTCCAGTAGCACCTTGGCTAGGGCACCCGCCAGGTGTGGATATGTCGGGAATAAGATCTTGAGGATCAAATTAAATATCATAACACTCCATATAACTCCCTAGTGGAATTTTATAAAACAGTACTGAAATCGTTATGATATAGTAGTGGAGAAACCGGGATCGAGCGTTATGATATAGTGGTGGAATCCGGGTTTCCAACTTGTCCTAGCCGCCCCACGGAAAAGCCATCAACGACATAACGGACACAATTGGGACACAAACCTAAAGCAACAGCGCCTCCACAGCATCGTCTGATCATTACCACGGACGCAAACAATGCCTGGGATGCTCTTCAACACCCGGGACCGAATCGATTCCCTGGACGTAATCAACGCTTACAGCATATCAACGCGGACGGATACAACGCCCCGGACGCACATCAGGTCCCGGACATTAACAACGCACCGGAGAACCTCCCTAGCATCAGCCAGGAATATGTAGCAACGAGAACTACATGACACAGTACAAACAGCAGGTAGAAGCTCTCTTTTGTCTACCTTTAAAATGTCTTCACTTATCAAATTAGAAAAATTTAAAGGAGATGGTACTCAGAATGTCAAAGCAAGGTTACAAAGTTTTACCCAGTGGGCCAAATTTCATGATTTACCAGATTCCAAGGAGGTTAATGCTTTTCCGTTTTATTTAGAGGGTCATGCCAAAGTATGGTATGATTCATTACCGTATGAACAAAAAATTAACGCAACGCTACTAACATCTCTTTTTCAGGAAAGATTTACAGAATTAGAATTTTTTTTGGATTTGTCGGTATTACAATTGAAACAAGAAAAAACAGAATCTGTTGAAGATTTGTTAACAAAACTTATAAAAAAGGGAACAATTAAGAATATTCCAGAAAAAGTTTTACTTTCAGTTGCAATGAATGGTTTAAGATCTGATATTAAAACACATGTTGTTACGCAGAATCCCAAAACAATGGAACAGTTAAGGCAAATTGCAATTTTGGCAGAAAAATCTCAACCAAGTCAAATTACAACGTTAGAAACGTATGCAAATTTTGTTGTCAAAATTAAAAATTAAAAAAGAAACTATGAAAAACCCCGAATTTAGTGAAATAAACCGTATACCCCCGCAAAAAAATTTTTTCCCCATTTGTAGCGAAACGGCCACCTTTTTTCAGAAAAGGGGTTAGAATAATTTATCTCCTTTACAAAAAAAACCTTTTTACAGGCCAAAAAGCAAAAAGGGCCGGGGAAAATGGGTCAAAAAAACGACTAGATCGCGTTCCCCGTGAATTCACTACTCCCAAGCAGCGGAAATTTCCCACAACACCCCGATGATCGCCCCCGAATTTTAATTTTTGTCTGGCAGTGAGGGATGATTCAAGTTGCCCAGCCTGAATGATTCTGTTAAATTTGTAAAGATTGGTCTTTTTAAAGGTTGCAACAATCATTTTTTGTTTCGCAAAAGTTCCCCTTTTATCCCCAAAAAAGTTTTTAAAATTTTAAAAATTTGCAAAACCCTGGTTATAAGAGAAAATCTCAAAATTTTAAATTTTCCCAAAAATAAAACTAAAAATTTTAAAAATAAAATTCAAAAATCTAATCGCAAAAAAAAGAAGGTAAAAAGGGAATTAAATTTGGTTTGAAAGGTTTAAATCCCTGAGTAAGGGGTTGCCAGAGTCTCAAAAAAAATTTAAACCGTACAACCAAACGGCTTTGCAAATTTCCAAAAAAACTCCCCGCGACTCAAAAACCATACCGAGGCAAAAAACAAAAGCAGCCGCAATCGAAAAGTGTTTGAAATTTTAATGGGCCCCGAAGCGGGTTTTTTAGTCTTTGTTGAAAATTTTTAAATTTTAAACTGGGGGGGTTTAAAAAACCAAATTTTAAAAATTGAAATTTTTCATTTTTTGAAAATTTTTGTTTTCACCCCCCCAGAAAATTTTAAAAATTTAAACATAAATTTATCAATTACCCAAATGCACCATAAAAAAATGTTTGACCCGGTACATTATGTTCTTTGGTCCCCCCGTCCGTCCCAAAAGTATTTATTCCAGGAGGGAAAAAACACAATTTGCAAATCAAAATTTAACTTTTAAACCGTTAAAAATTTGACACCCGTTTTTCGTTAACAAAAAAAAATTTTTCCCAAAAAAAATTTTATTAATAAAAACTTTATGTATTTGCAAATGATTTTTCAAAATTTGGGGGAAAAAGCCAAATTTTTTACCACCCAACAAAACAGAAACTTAAAAACCTTTTCCCTCGCCCTATGAACTCGCCCAAAAAAGTTGGAAATTTTAAAAAAAAAAACAAATTTTTCAATACGTTTTAAAATTGAAAAAAGTCTTTGTTTTGTTCTCCGGTTTTTTAGTAAAAAACGCTAATTTTTAAAATTTTTCGATTGACTTTTAGAAAAGGAATTCGGTCACTAAACTTAAAATTTTCCGTTTAGGGTTTTAATTTGATGTTTTTGATGGGGTGGGTCAAACAAAGCTAATTTTTCCCCCAAATTTGGGGTTTGGGGGTTTTGGGAAAATTGCCTTAAAGATGAAAACAAAAAAAAAATCTTTTATTGGGGCATAAAAGGGGTTTGGAAAATTGAACCTGCGACTTTTAAAAGCTCAGGGAAAATATCGATTTGGGAAAGGTTTACGGTGGAAATCTATTGTTTGGTTTTAAATTGGATGATTTATGATATGGTCAGTAAGATTTAAAAAAATCATTTAAAACATCTTTAATTTAGTTTTTCTAAGATTACGAGACGCAAATTTGACATTTAAAACGCACTAAAAGGGTTCATTTGCAAAAACCAAAGTAAATTTATTTGGGACATATTATATCAAAAGACGGAATAAAAGTAAATCCATCAAAAATTGACTAAGGGTAAAATCATAGTCCTTTACCTAAAAATCAGCATGATGTCGCAGTTTTGGGTCTAGCAAATTATTATCGAAAATTTGGTAAAAGGTTATTCCAAAATTGCGTTACCTTTAAATAGATTTGGTTAACAAAGAAACGGTGTTTAAATGGACAACAAATTGTCAAATGCTTTTGATTCATGAAACAAGTTCAACACCAATACTCCAATTTTTTAGCGTATCCAAATTTTCAAAAACAATTTATTTTATTTTGCGATGCGTCTGGAATGGCAATAGGTTATGTTTTGGCACAAATTGGAGATGATGATAAGGAACATGTAATAGCAGCATGTAGGCCCTTATAGAGGTGAGGTTTTAGGTGATGACGTAATTGATAGGGTCTCCTAGAGGGTGTTTTTAGAAAAGTAAATTTATCGAGGTCGTTTCTGATGTTGTTTTAGAGAGGTTGTATTATAGAGGTGATTTTTCATCACTATTTTTAGAAAAGGTAGCAATATAGAGGTCGTGTTCTCATTGGAGGATTGAATATAGAGGTGATGACGTAGTTACTATTGAGGCCTTATAGAGGGGGACTTTTTAGAACAGTAAATTTATAGAGGTCGTGTTTTCATTGGAGGATTGAATATAGAGGTGATAACATAGCTATTTATAGAAAAGGTTCTGTACAGAGCTTGTTTGTCATTGTTATAATTAGAAAGGTATTGTTATAGAGTTTGCATAGAAGCATATTCATTATAGAGTTGATTACTATACCAAATAATGAGCATGCGCAAAAAAAAAAGATTTTTAGTTTATTCATTTATGTAAAACCAATCATTTCATTATGGATTGTCAAGGAGTACAGTACAAATGGAAAATTATAGCATGGAGTGCATTAAAAAAAGATGAGAAAAACCCCAAAACGTGGACATTGAATGAGAGTCGTTGGTTTGACAATAAGAAAGTCTGTATATGAGATTTTAGAGAAGTGACCCGAAACGGTTACAATTTTGCCGACGGCTGGGGAACTGAAGAAATTTTATTAAAACATACAGTTATGGCTCAGTGAGCGCCTGATATGAAACACGATGAATGCAAGGCAGAGAGAGTTATCAATGAAAAAAAAGTTCAGTTTGACAATAATGTTCACACTCTGTTAGTTCCATACGAAGATAGGAAAGGTGAATGGATGAATTATGCCATCGATAGAGCTTATTTTAGGAAAAGAGTTCAATAGACAAATAATTTTTTTACCGATATTAAATTAAGTTATTAAAGGTCAACTGAACTTAGATAAAAAAAAACAAAAACCCTGTTTATTTTAGTGAAACTTTTCGACTGTAAAATCTGACGCGTATTGATTTGATATATAAAGTTTACTTTGACTCTTTTTTTCAAGAGAGGATGGAAGAATATAAAAAGTGAGTGTAGACTACTTTAAAAATATTTCCAGATGTTTAAACAATTACCAAATTTTTCGAAAAGATGTTTCTCTGTTACATCTATATTAAAGTGTAACCTTTTACTTTGATAGATTAAAAAAGTAATTAAGAACAATTATTTAACGATATAAATTTTGCTAAAAAATTATTTATAAGAAAGTTTTTGGAGGGTTTACAATGATGTGACGGTATAATAGGTGCATAGATATTTTTTGGTTAAGAATTGTATTTTTGTTGTTGTTTTTTTTAAATACAAAATCATCTTTCTTCATTACTTTTTTAAGGTTTCATATAAATACTTTGTTTGAAATATCATTAATGACATAAAAATACTTTTAAGAAAGTAAAAAGATCAAAATAAATCTCTACATTATGGAATATATTTTTTCTATGAACAAACAAAAAAACAATTGATAAATACATTCAACAAATTTCAATTGAAAGATTTTTAAAATAAACTATATTTTATGCCTTTAGTTATTTTTTTCTCAAGTGTATTGAAAAAATAAAGTTATTTTTATCTTACAGACGTATTATAATGTATTTTTGTTGTGTTTTTTTTAAAATAAAAAGTCATCTTTTTTCATTAGTTTTTAAAGGTTTCATATAAATATTTTGCTTGAAATACAAAACATAAAAAATTTTATTTTATTTTAAAAATGGGGGTTTTTGGAATTGTATATATAACTTTGTTTTTTTTTCCACTAGATCTATCTTTTGGGTTTTTAAAAAAAAAAAGAAATTTAAAATTAAATGTTTTCTTTTTTTTTCAGTAATGTTTTTTCATACATTTTTAATATTTTAAATTTTTTGGACATGAAAAAGAAAATTTGTAGTTATGAAATAGATAAATATTTTGGGTCTGGTTTATAATTTTTAAATTTAAACCGGGGCTTTTTAAAATTGAGCCATTTTTTGTTTTTTTTTTCCCAAGGGTTTTTTTTTTTTGGGGGTTGGGAATTTTAAAAGGGGCGCTCCTTGTTTTTTTTTAACCAATTCCACTCCCCGCTCGTTTTTGGGGAACTTTTCTCATTTCCTTTTGTGATGAAATGTTGGGGTTTGAATGTCCCCCATTGCTTAAAAAAATTTTCGAAGGGGTAGGGTCTTTTAAAAAGGGGCAGGGGATTTTAAAACAAAGGGTGTTTATGCGGGGGCCTTGATGCGCTCCCTTTGAAATCAAAACCCCCTTTGTTTTTCCCCGGACAATACGTCCCCGGCCTACTGAGATAAGAAATTAAGAAACCCTTTTGGGTTTTTTCTTTTTAAATTAATGGTTTTTCCAAGTTTTCCCGAGAACGTTTAGGGGAATATTTTTGTAAATGGGTGTTTCCTTTTCCCCGGCAAAAAATTGTCTCCTTTCTCAGATTATTTTCTTGAGCCTTTTGAAAAGATGTAGTCAGGTTTGATCAGACGAGTTTTGCTCTGATGCTTTAAAAAATTTTTTAGGTTAAAGACTTGTTCATTTTTTTCTCAAGGTAATTATGAATTTTTTATGGTACAAGTTTTTTGTACTGAGGGGCCCGGGAATGGCCCCCCTTGTAAACATTAAAAACCCGCAAAAAAATTTTGAAATTTGAGAGGGTTAAAGGGTCGACAACATTGCTCGTCGCTTTTCTGTCGTGGGTTATAAAAAAACCCAAAAGGGACAGATCTTTTTAATTGGGTTCATAATAAAATTTTAAAGTGAAAAATAAAAAAGAAAAAATTTTAATTTTGGGTAGATAAAAAAGGGTTAATTTTTTGTTGGGAAGATGGCGGGGCGCAATCTATAATTT